AAAAGCCACTTTGGAGCAAAAGTGGACTCTTGTCCACATGACCAGAGTCACATGCTGGGTGGGATCCCATATCTTTTTCTCTCAACACTACAAAGATCAGTTCATACAAGTTCATTCTTAGGAAATATATATATATATATATATATATATATATATATATATATATGAACTCTGAACATAATTAATTTTCTCACCCTTTGTTATGTGCTACCTCCCAAAATTACTTGACCCTCTGTTCTGCCCAGTACATCCCAGTTGCCTCAGTTAAAAAAAAAAAAGCCATCCAGAATGAAGTGGCTGGTCAGAGCGACCACATGTGGAGAAAAGCTTCAGGCCTCACACCATGAGCAGCATCTATAAATGGAATTATTTACAGAAGAGTGGATAGGCTGCTAAAGAATTTAAAGCTGTGTCATGAAGATGGCTTCCATAGCCCCCATAGTCCAGGCCTGGCCTAAGTCCTTGAGGAGGACCCTGCTCTCTCCTTTCCAGGACTGAACTCTGCTTCACCTTGTCAGTGCTCATCCAAGGACAAGGGCTGTGCTTCCTGTTACACATGCCAGATGGGTTCTGCCAGCCAGAGTGTTGGAGTCCACTGGAGAGAGGCAGAATAAGGTCTGAAGGGAGGAAGTGTGTTCTTCCATAGGCTGTCTCCTTGCCCCTCCAGCCCCTCATGCTGCCAAGGGAATGAGCTTCCTTCCGGAGCACGCACCATTCTTCCTCCGGCTTCCATGCATAGCAGGGAGCTACAAATCTCACATTCTCAGATACTCCCTGTGTGTTTCCTGGGGCTCTAAAGATCCTCTATGCTTCCCTAGTGACTTTCATACCAAGTGGCCCAAACTACCTATTAAACTGAGCACAGAATAGCAGTAGAGTTCTCTAAGAAGTCAGGACACCAGTCTTATAACTAACATTTGCAGAGACTATAGGTGTATCTGGATGTTTGTATAGAGAGGAAACACTAGGCAGCTATAAGCATCCCCTTTTAAACTTGTTATTATGTGACCCTCAGTAATGAAAGGTCAATCAAACTTAACCTGAATACTTTCCAAATTAATTGCTCTTTAATATAATATAATCAGGATTCAAAGAAATAGTTTCCAGTCATTAGTAAAGAAAGGCCAATTAATTTTCCTTATCTGTTGCTAGTATTCCTGGATTTTACAAGAATCATGTAGGATGAGAAGAATACATAAAAGCAGGAGCTCAGTTCCTTCAAATAATTTCCCACTAATTAAGAAGTTTCATTCCACCGGGTTATACTGTGAAATGGAAATATAAAAAGAGGAGGGTAGAAAAGAGAACGAGATTGCATCTTTAACAAAACTGCCAAAGGTTATTGTCAAAATAATTGTTTCCATTTTATTTAACAGGATGACTTTAATATACACATTTGTTTAATGAACAGAGTGTAAAGTATTTATTTCCATCTTCCTTTTGGTCTAACTTCTAGTAAATCTGAACATGAATGATGAACTTGCTTTACCAAAGAACACGGCTGTGCTTAGCTGATTCAGCATGCCCAGGGATCAGCTAATTTCCTGGATGCCCCTGAGCCTGCTGGGCAAGAGGGAGCATCACTCTCCAGACTTCAATTAGGCCAGTAGCTTTCAAACACCAGTGCACATGTGTGACAGGAATGAAATGAAATGAACTGATTACTGCAAATGGTCATTCTCCAAGAGGTGTTTCAATGTAGATATGTTTCCCTCTATGGAAACATCCTTTTTGTGCTGGTATGGTGCAGGGTTAGCTCTCTCCCTTTCACTAAATGTGTAAAATCAAATGTCTTTGGGAACAAGAAGACACAGAAAACTAGTGTTCCTTTTCCACCACACATGAACTTACAGAGCTGTGGAGGGTTAAGTGGGCCAGTGTGGGTCTCAGTGACTGAAAGTGATCTGTACTGCACTGCAAATAAATGACAAAAGATTTTACCTAAACACTGTTGCATCTTATGAATTTGGTAAAATTTGAGATATAAATTCCTTCATAAGAACATACCTTTCATTGGAGAATATAAATTATAAAAAAGATGATAAAACTCTAGTCATCCTTTGAAAAAAAGTATTTCATCAATGTATTTCCAGACTAAATGTTTCACACTGGAAAAGGGCAGGGTGCTGGGAGTTTAACTCAGAGGAATCACTGCATTAATGTCCTTGGCTTTTTTTGGTACAATTGTGTGCCTGAGTTGGCAGTTCAGGGAGGCAATGGGTATTTTCAGAAAAAAAAAATGACCCTATTTGGTGGGGAGGTCCAATTAAATGCTGCTTCCATTTACAGAATAATAATCATTTGCTTATGGCTGACCGTGTTTCTCTGTCATGATAAGGTGGCCAGATTGACTTTGGCATACCATTTATTGACAAAATATGTTTGGAAATGTCTGTGCTTCAGTTTAAACTCTGCTATTTACAAATCAGCAGATACAGGAAGGAGCTCACAGCTTGCCCACAAGACACAAACACACAAAGCTATGGCCGGATCCCTTAAAATAAATGATGCAAAAAGCAGAGGCCGACATACATGTGTTTCTATTCTAATTGCGCTACATTCTGGACAGGGTACGTTATGGGCTGCAGGAAAGGCTATTCTTTCAAGAGGGAGTCACACACACAAAACAAAAATAAAATATTCAATATTCTACACTATATTACAAAAATAAATATAATAATCAATAAATAGTAAGAAGCCTAGAAACTTTTACATGGCCATGCTGATGTTGGGATGCCCGAGTGCCCCTGCTAGAGTTTCCTTCAAGAGTCGTTAGGTTTATCAGCTTTTTGGAAGATTTGTCATCACAGAAATGTCTCCCTAAGTTTTAATTTCCTGATAACCTACCCATTCTGTGGCTTCAGGTTAAGGTAATGAAGTAGACAGGCTGCAGGCAGCTGCCGGGAGGAGGGAGAAGGGTGCTTCTATTCATGACTTTTGTCATTTCACTTTTTGATAAGGTAGCAAAATCCATAACACTAATGAAAAAAGCAACTCTTGAATATCCAATGTGTGACTATCCAACCTTTCCATGAAAAGACCATCATGAAAAATACAGCTCATATTTGCACTTTAGTAAATAGAACAGCATGTGAGATATGCAGACAGCCTCAACTGTCACCTCTCTTCAATAGCTCAACTAAGTCTCTTGAGGAGCTGACTGGGTGAGCAGCAGTGAGCATGGTGGGATATAAGAGCTGACACCTCTTGTATCAGATGTTAATGTCAATGGTGTTCTATGGCCAGAAAGCATGCACTTCCCCAGATCTGGATGTCATGTTTTCCTGGAGTTTGCAAGTCATTTGGCATAACATGACACATTTAAACTTTAAAAAGCTGAGCTTCTATCTACCTTAGGCTGTTGTGGAGCCATGACTAGAACCTAAGAAGAAACTATTCCTGCCAAGCTAAGATTTTATTATATGTCTATGACAGTTCCTCGAGAAAGAAGGAAACACCATAGAGTACCATAGAGTATGAAGGCTGTACCATTTTCTCAGGGGATGCTGACATGGCTATCCAATGCCAGCTATATGTGTGCAGATTTATGCATGTGCTCAAACACATGGTATTACAAAGAGGCTATGTGGATGCTTCTTAATTAAATATCCATCTCAGCCAACTTAATGTCCCTTACTGTGTTCCCACTTAAGATCAAACTATTCCCCTTCCACAGCAACAACTTCCCTGAGATTTGCATTTTGACCAACTAGATATATGGAGTTGAAGTTCAAATTCAGAAAATACCTTTCCTTGACAGAACAATTTGAATGCATAGCCCTAAGAAGTTTATGGAAAGGAAGCTGGCTCGAAATTAATATCTATAACCAATAGGTAGGGCTGGGCAATGCACTGGAAGCCATGGTCCTGCTTCTCATGTAAATCACCATGTCATCTGTCTGTGGATGCTGGAGTGACTTGGGATCTTCCTGCTCTGGCTCCTCCTGTATAGAGTCTAGCGCCCTAACAGGAAGCTGTAGGACCAGAGCCAGGGTCTCAGTGTCCTTGCAACCCACCAGATGATGCACAATGATTTCAAACTGCAAGGAGAGTGGACTGGGAAGAATGGAAATGCTACAGGGTCCCTTCCAAGACCAAGGCTGATTTCAAAGTTTAAGCTCAACATTTGAGTCACCTGCTTATGAGTCCACTAATTCATGGGTTTGAATGTATTCACTTGGACTCTAGTCTTCTTCTATTCTGTATTCTTAACAAAAACCATAGCATAAAGGATATAGCTAAAATCAAACCAAATTACATTTCCAGAATAAGTCTAGAAGTCAAATCACTAACTGATTTCACACTGAGTGAAAATGCTTTCAAGTGCCTCCTCCCAGCCCATGTCTTGGGTGATGAAGGAAGAGAAAGGCAAGAAAACAAAAGGCAGGGTGGGCAAGAGGTTAAACAAAGGGAAGAAGTGAAAGAAAGCAGAGGTGGCTGGCAAGAGAGGGAAGTCAGGAAATGAAGAGTGTTTTCAGTAGAGCCCATCAGATAGCTCCCTTCTGATGGTCCTCTTAGACTTAGATCTTTTTATTTGTCCAAAAGGTTTAACTCTCCCATTAGAATTGTGATTATTTTACCATCATACCTGAGGACAGCACCCCAACTTCCATGGCTCTTTACAGCAGTAACGGCTAGAATATGCCTTGCTTCCTGTAGACAGAGTGGGAGTCAGTCTTGACATCCCCCACCCCATCTTCCTTGACCAAGCACTGTCCTCTGCAGTGCATGGCCCAGGGGCCCATTCTTTGCAAGTGCATCTCTGGGACCATTGCCTGTCAAGGCCTTTTGCTTCATGTATCTGACAATCCCACCCACCTCTTGAGCCTGCAGCCTGTTCATCCAGCCTGCTGCTCTGAACCATGGAAGATACAACTGAAAAGAATTACATTCACATTCCCAGAACATTTGGAAGCTAAACCTCTCTAGATGGTTAAACTCCTGATATGAGGGTTCTTACCACAAATCCTACATCCTACAATACAGATGTTCTGGAGGAAGCTACTCACATGTATCAGTATAGTCTGCCTCTGCTGGACAAAAAGATTTCTGTAAGTTCATGTGCACCTGCATGAACATGCACAAATATCTATGTGTTGACACTATTTCCCTTTAGGGGCTGCTCTTTCCAAACTGACATAGAGGGTAAGTGGTACCGGCCTGTGTTTTGTTGTTAGAGATGGTATCACTGGGAAATGAGAGTCCAAAGAAGATAAGTGGAAGGGACTGGATTGTATAGCAAAATACACGTTTTCTACAGCACACTGATCTGTCCACTTCCCTAAGGTGGCAATCTCTATTATCTGTACACCTTCATTAAATAGTTTCATTAAATAAAACACAAAATATACACATTTGCAGTTATTAAATAAGCCATAGGACTCCTCTCCTATCTACAGCCACATTCAGATACGGCCATTCCTTCATATTTAAACTTGTAGGTGACAACACCTTTATCTAAATAGAGGATGGAGATGGGATCCAGCTTTGTGGGTACACAGCAAGCTTTGGATGCTTTCTGGGAATTCTTGAGGTGGACTAAGGACTGGATGATAGCATGTTTTGTGGGTGTGAGGTGCTCTGCCAGAGGGTAGTTACAGACACCACGGCATTCATAGGCTTCATACCCAGGTGGTGCAATGATCCAGGAGTCCCAACCAATCTCCTTGAAGTCGATGTAGAGTGAGGACTTCTTGCAGTAGTTTCCCTTGGCGTTCCTTCTGATTCGAGCAGCAGAGTCATCAATCATGTTAGACCTCATCTGCAACAAGGCCTCTTCATCAGGCCTGCTGGAAAAACCATCCATGTCCAGGTCCAGATCCTGCTCATGAGTAATCATTTCATTCAGTTCCTCTTTGTGTTCCTTGTCATTGCTTTGGTCATCAGAAAATACAACAAGCAAAGGGTCGTGCTTATTCTGGGCACTGATATCTATTTCCAGTTGTCCCCTTCCGGTGTCCTCAGCTTGGTTTTGTGTACTCTCAATGTGGATCTCCAGCTGATGGGTAGATGGGCCTGACTTTTGCCAACGTCTGGTGGCATCCGTGACATCAAAAGTCTCCCACTCACTGTTGATTCCGTAGATCTCTGCTGACACTAAGACCAGCATGCTCCTTTCATCTTTGCTACCCTCGACACTCTCCAGTACTTCAAAGATGGTGATCTTCCGGTCCACACCATCATACATCACACGATCTCTTTGTACCAGCGTGTACAACCTGAGTTCAGCCATGATGACCTCTTCATGGTGTGGGATGGACACATTGAAGAGGAGAGGGTATTTCCGGATCCCATTAAAACTGACCGGTTGAGAAAACAGATCTAAAAACCAAAAATATTTATGAGAAATCAGACTCCCTAGGTGTGCTACAAAATAAAGCAAGTGCTTATTCGTGGAGTAAGAGGAAAGAAAACTTGCCCAGCCTGAGCTGCTTCAATGGGGACAGAATAGGAAAGAAACTTGGCACTGCAGACAAGCCCTCTCTTTGTCCGGCCAGCAACAAGCCATGAAATGAATCGTGGAGATTGTTCTGAACTAGCTTGTGACTAAAGACTTCAAAGCTTATGCTTGTGATGAGCAGTGCTCTCCATGTGGTTGGCTGGCCACTGGTCTTCATGGAAGATCTCTATAGACCCAGGCCAAACTGGGACTGTCACATGTTGTTGGAAATGAAGTTTTTCCAGAGCAAAGCCCCCCTTGGGTATTGCTGGACCATGTCTGGCTAATTTTGCCCTACAGAAGCAGAATTAGATACGAATTATCTGGCCTTTACAGAGGAAGTTTGCTGACCCTGTCCCTACCTTACGTAACAAAGTTCAGCAAGGTCAACAGAACCTTACTAAACAGGTCTGAAGCATGTGGCCCTCCTGAGTGAGTGAGAGAAGATGCACCTCAGGGTAGATGGATTGCCTTAGTACTATTCACTAGCAGCCAGCATGTAGTTGGATACATACAAACCACCCGAGATCTACATGAAATAGCTTGTTAAAGATCCTTTAGTATCAGAATCATGTCTCCAAGTGATTTCATATTGCCTGTTTTTGGGAGGTGGGACAAGGTCTGGTGTGGCCCTGGTTGTCCTGAAACTCACTGTGTAAAGCAGGCTGGCCTGTAACTTGCAGTCCTCCAGTCTTTGTTCCTTGAGACACTTTGCAGGCATGTGTCACCATGCCAGGTCTAACACTCTTTTTATGTGAGAATTTTTCAGAGAACCAAGACCTCCTACATAATCATCTGAGGTAGTTTGTCTACAAGGACTGAGACATTTAACACTAGAGTATCCAAGGATTGTGACACCAAGATGTCAGGGACCTGCAACTGAGGGTCCTCTATTCTCTTGGACAACCTTTCCCCAACTGTATACCTAACTGGTGATCTCAGTGGATTTTCTGACCCACACTATCTCAGCACCCTTCTTCAATTGATGGTTTTATACTTAATCTCAGAAGGCTTAACATTTGGGCTTAAGCTGATAGTTGTATGGGCTTTTTAAATTTACATAAATAAAAGACATAGCCATTTCACAGCTTCCTCTGGATGCTAACTAAGATTATCTTCACAGTGGCAGTGGGACACTGACTTATTCTGGGGCCCTGAGGTCACGGGTGTGGCCAGAACAGCTGTAACCAGGGCTTGACACCCTAATCAAGCCTTAGTTCCTGTCCATTCTCTACAGTACACAGAATGCTGCAGTTGCCCAGTGGATAAATTTATTGATCAATTGAATGAATACTTTATCCTATTTGATTGATGGCTTCCCCACTTGGAAAAACAAAATCAAAAAACACACACCCTTCTCTGTATTCTGTACCTTTGAGGACCTCCTTCTGATCTCGGGAAGAAAGCCCTCCTGCATCACATCTGCTTCACCCCCACCCCCTCCACAGAGACCTTGGCTCTTTTGAGTCTCTCTCTGAAAGTTAATCCCACTAGAAGTCACCTGTGCACTTGCTGTTTTGGAAGACCAAAAAAAAAAAAAAAAAAAAAAAAAAGAGAAAGTAGGCTATTGTTTCTCTGTGAGAGAAGTACAGAGACGTGCTCTCTGTAATGGAGAAACATTGGGGGATAGGTATGCTCACTGTCTTGACTAAGGCAGGGTCCTCAGTGGATGTTTACACATGTAAACATTTATATTACACACATTAAATACATGCAGATTCTATATATCAACTATACATCATTGAAGATGTACCTTTAAAAAATAAGCTCACATTCAAGAGGTTGAGACAGAGGATTGTGAGTTTGAGCACAACCAGGGACACATAGTAAAACATTGTCTCATAGTAAAATATTGTCTCAAAAGAAATACAATTTTTAAAATTCAAATGTGAGTATTTTAAGGCTAGCCTTGGTTACATGTGGTGAGTTCAAGGCCAGCTTAAAACAAAACAAAACAGTATACACACACCACACACACACAGATGCCTTAACTAAATAAAACCATGCATAGTTCTTTGCTTATGTGGAACAGTCACATTTTAGAAGAAGAGAATTAAGTCTGACAGATTTCACATGTCAGTTGCTCTGCAAATTGTGTAACTGTCATAATGACGCCCACATGCATATATGGATCCAATCCTAGTTCTGCACCAGAAGAAATCAAACCACCATGTACAGATCTGATTTCCTAGATAATACAGAGGATGGAGCCAAGCTGAGAATTGAAGCCACATTTTCCACATTGCATGTGACATTCATTCAAAGATGAATTAGGTTTGGAATCTTCTTGGTCTTTACATCCTACATCATATCACTGAGCAAACACAAAAGATATATAGATGGATGACAGCAGCCATCAGGGAGAGCCTGATGAGGGGGGAAACATGTTCTCTGCTATATGAGTCATCCTATAGACTGACAGAAGTGCAGGAGTGTGGATGGCTGGGTGTCCCCAATTCTGATCCTCTCCCATGGGTCTCCAGCAATGGTAAGCTTGCTCACATTCTCACCTCTATTGCCTGCTCTTCCATGGGAAAAGCAAGAAATACAAATGGAATAATTTATTCCCCCTGTGGCTGAGCTAGACCACATTTCCCCTGTGCCTGAGCTAGACTGCATTCCCACCATGCCTAAGCTGGACCATGGCTGGGGGGGGGGGGGTTGCTGAGACAGGCAACAGGAGTTTGCTCTTTCTCTCTTAGACTTGCCTTCAAAAGAATCTGAAATCTCTGCTTGCAGTTTCCACCAGAAATATGTTAATAAATAGAAATGGTGGTGATCAATTGAATTTTAAAAGCAAACACTATCTTGGTGTCTGAGGAATACCCATTCAGTGTTTATTCCTGCACCTAAGCTGTTAAGCAATTCATTAAAAGTCATCATGGTTTGCCCAGCACTTCCTAGCAATGAGCCCTCTCTTGCTTCTAGCTCCTTGTGATTCACTCATCTGTGTCACATGGTTTCTGTTTTACAGGGGGAAATTGGGGCTCCCATCCCTTAGTCACAACTTCTCAAGGCAGCTAGTTCTCAGAAGTTCGGAGCTGTTACATGACACTGCCTTCTGCTTCCAAGAACATCTGGAAAACCTTGATCAAACCTCCTTTTCTCTTACCCAGTGTCTATAAAAGTGCAATTAGTAAATAATAAAGAACCAGTTTATCTATATCCACAGAATCTACCATCAATTTTCTACTACTGCCATATAAACATACAGTTAGTTTGCTGACTCCTTTAAAGATCTGAGGGGCAGGAATAACAATTTGAAATTTGTACATCACTCTTCATGAAAACACAGCCACAATAAGCTGGACTGTTAGCTGGGTCCTGTATACTTCCTGGGGTCTTAACATGGCTCATTAAACATAAAGCAGCATTAGAAGAACCTCTCAAACACAGTCCCATTCTATTAGGACATTGCTTAGATGAAGTCACAATTGGAAACTCACCCAGAGTTTGAATGAACCACAAATTCCAAATTTCTAATTTCTTTTTTATTGTTTTCACCATTTTTGATCTAAGGAAAAGTTGGCAAATTTTTATTAACCCCAGATAGAAATCAAGTCCTGTCTAGAAAGTGGCAGACAAGATAGAACAGAAGATCAACATTTACTTTTTTTTTTTTTTTTTGATAGTGTCCAGATTAAAACACTATCAAGAACTGGAATGAACCTGTTCTGATGCCAGAATGAACCAAGGGCATTTTGTGGCTTTTCCTTAAAAACATTTTATAGCAGTTTTGAATTCTAGAAGGACCACGTGGAACAGTGGATGTGTTGTATCTGAGCCACGAATTTACATGAACCCATCCTCTCCCCCATCATCCCCACATGAATGTTTAACAATTTCTTCTTGAGAAAAAGCAAAGCCAATGCTTCTTAGCTGAAAACACAAACCAGCTTACCTTCATTCTTGAAGCTCCGTATGATGTTAGCAGACGGCATGGAGGTCTGGTCCGTGGCGAATTTGTTGTAGAGTTCTAGCATGTACTCTGGCGGATCCACTTTGGCTGTGCCCTGCTGGGGAATGTCGGACAGGTTCAACGTCTTGAGAAACTCGTCCTTCATACTCTGTAGCAGTGTATTGAAGTCAATACCATCTTGCTCTGTGAAGATATCATCGAAGACAGGCATGTCTTCTTCCAGGGGAGAGTGCTCAAGGCCCATGATGGGGCTGCCAGAAACCGAGTAAGCCATCAGGCAGAAGACAGTGCTCAACTGCAGGACCAGAGAACCCATGACTGCTCAGCTCCCCAGCTCAACCTAGGAAGGCTTAACTCCTCTGGGCTCTAAGTGGCAGTTTTATCTTGTGGAGTGTAAATGTCTTATGTCACTGGACACGCACAAGTATGGAAATTCTTCCTCTCTCTTCCCCTCCCCCCGCACTCCTCCCCACCCCCCACCAAAAGTCAGGTTGCAGTAATTGGATAGCAAAATCCCCTATAGGGCCTAGCCTTTTCTTATCTCCCTAGTGTAAACTTGTACACCAGATTTCATTTTTATCTTGCAACCCCTTTTTCTTTTAATGAGCATTTTGTAAACACTTCCACATTCTGACACTGGTGAAGGATAGGACAATTTTCTCTCCACAAAGGCCCTGCTACTGTTTCTTTCACTTGACATCCTTTTGGTAGGAATGTCTGGATTCTGGCTCCACGGGAGTTGGTTTTGCACGTGTGTATGGCAGATATTAAGAATCAACAGAATGCAGGTCAGTGGAAATGCATATTGATTCAAATGATAGGGCTTACATATCTAAAGATGGACTAAATAGCCAATAACATCAAGTTAAGTAGATGTAAATGTCTCAGAAACAAATTTGGAAGTGTTTGCTTTTAGAAACAGCAAAAAGTAAGAGTCACAGATTATAATCAGGCTTTGGCCTGATTATAATGAGGTTTGGATTGTAGCACTGTGAAGAACTTTGCAGAAATCATGCAATATGTTTCGTCTAATAACCCGTTTTCATTACTTTCCTGTGTGTGAACTCCTGAAGTCCTTTAGCCGGTCAGAAGTCACTGAACTGTCAGTTGTGAAGCCCCAGGTTAAGCCCAGGCTGTCTGATTACTGTGGAATAGAAATAGCCCCACTTTGTAACAAGATTCTACCAGACCAGGAATTGGGAGTAATAGCAACTTGACTCCAGCCCAGTCTTGGGTAGGCAGTAAGAAGTCAGGTAGCTAGGTGTCGATTCGGGTCCTGAGCTTGTGATACCAGATATTTCTATGACCAAGATCTCTGTCAAGTTCACCTCCAAGACTAAGTTCAAAGCTCCACTAGCTTGACCAACAGCATTACTAAACAGATAAAAAATGCCAAGTATCTTGGTGAGAGGGTGGTGTGTCCACTTTAGGAGTAACAAGCCAAGCTGACCATATGGTCCACACTAATTGGTAGTAGCAAGAGGCTTGGTGCTGTCACAGTGGTTCTGTAGACAGCTCCAAGGGATGATTTCCTGAAGGGACAATTATAATGGAATCTCTTCTCCTTGCTTGGTATGTTCCCTGTTCGACTCTGCAGGCAGGCAGCCTTTGGTGCAGTCTGAGGATACTAGAATATTGTCTCAGCTTCTTGGTTAAGTTTTTCTACATTCTTTCTAACAGGCTAGCTACAGTATCCCCATTTATCATTCTCTCTGGTTCCCCAAGTTTCTTTTTATTCTATCTTCTCCTTCCTTGTTCTTTTTGAGCTGTCTTAGGAAGAGTCTTGTCTTCTTAGTTGCTCATTGTCCACTTGTCTGGTAGTTGATTCAAATCCAATGTTTGATCAATGTCTGCTTATGTAGAAAAATGTTGATTGCAGATTGGAAATAGATTGCACTTGAGCAGGCCCACAAGCAAGTGTGTGTCCCAAAGCCATAGCCCACTCTACTGTGGTGCATCTTAACAAGAGGTTCCTGCATCAGTGCTGATCAGGACCAGCACCCACTTATTTTTACAGACACACACACACACACACACACACACACACACACACACGGCTATATTGATGTGGAAAACTTGGGAGACTTGTACCAAATATTAATATTTATCAAAACTTAATGACATTCAAAACATTATCATATTGAAGGGATAGATCAAACTATAGAAAGAGTCTGGAAAAAGACTCACAGATTAAAAAATTGGTTAAAAAATAGCTGATATCATGACTCAATGAGGAAACAATAAACATTTCATAAATGATAAGGGATCACATACTTAAAATATCAATTATCTATATCTTTCTTTACACACAAAAAAGTCAAATTTAGATTGGTAGAGGGTTTTCATAAAAGAGAAAATCTGAATATTAGGGAGCCCTATGAGAGTCCTGAGAGAGCGTCCCTTTTGGTGCCACTTCAACCATAGAGGAGAGCAAAGACAGGGATGATTTTCCCAGCCAGGCTAGAAAATGGAGAAAAAGGTCACTTTTAGAGGGAAATGTACCCATGAGTTCCAAACATCTGACAGTGAGGATGTCCCTTGGAACAGTGTAATGCACAGCCTGAGATGGGGCAACCTTCACATGTGACAAAAAGGTTACATTACCTGTGGTTTAAGAAACATCTTTCCTGTTCCTAGAGCAAACACTAGTTTCTCAAGTATGCTTTTTAGGTTAAAAAAAAATACTAAAAATGAAAAAGCCCACTGATCTAGGATATCCTGGGAGTGGAGTGGATAGCCCATCAGTGTGCTCTTCCCACACTAGAGGTGTTTGACAGCTGCGCTGAGTCATAGCACAAAGAGCAGTGACAAGGATTCAAAGGCAGCCAGGGCACTCTGCCACCACAGGAGATAAGCCAAGCCCTTTAACACCAGGGACTGCTAAGGGCTTATTCCACACTCCCAGTGAGCAGGGCCAGATAAGCTGCCATTCATGCCTTGTCAGGAACGCAGCTCAGAGAAAATCCAAGAGAGGCAACTAGGCACGGACAATCATTTTAGGGATGAAAATGAGCAAACTTCAAGTTGTTTGGCTTTTAGTTGCTCGAGGATCTGTGAAGAACTTGTACTTCAGAAGGACTGGCCTTTGGAAGCATGCCATCACCACAGAGCCACAGAGCCCTCCTGTCAGGCACCTTCCCCTCAGTCCAAGTCCCAATGCACAGTTTGTTTTCTCATTTTTCTGAAACAATTGGAGCCCAAATGGTTAGATGAAGTGACTAGGTGACACATGTTTGGAGAAAATTGGAGTCACACCCTTGCCATTAATTCCTCCTAATTCTCTAAACCACTTTCATTAGGTTGATAGTTCATAGGGCTGTTCTGATTATCACCTTAGTCAGATACATTAGAGGCCTCTCTGTACTGGCTGCTAAGCTCATTTCCCTGAGGCTAAAGAACCCTCTGATCTTACCCTTCCTCACTCAGATTCAATTTCAATTGCACCATTTCCACTTTAGAACAAGCTGGATATGAGTCTACTTCTCCACCCCCTTTCTTTTCTTTCTTACAAAATACACTCACACTATCTGTAGAATTCAATGAAAACAAGTTTTGAAAGGACAGTGTGCATCTTAGAAGGATCATCAGTATTTATCCCTAGTGTATGAATGGACTTTGGGAGCCCATTTCACATAGAGAGATACTCTCTCAGTCTAAACACATGGGGGAGGGTCTTACCCTCCCTGAGGAGCTGAAACGGGGAGGGATGGGAGTGAGGGGGCAGGGGAGGAGAGGAGGGTGAGGGAACTGGTATTGACATGTAAAACAAGCTTGTTTCAAATTTAAATTTAAAAAAAAAATCATCAGGAGGACCCTGTTTGCAGAGCTTAGAGGTCAAGACATAAGCCACACTTATTATTACAGAAAGAAGAAAAAACTAGTGGTCTCATAAAGAGATTCAGTCCAGATAGATCAGCCTGCGGATGTCAGGCTTCAGCCTGAGGCTGTATCATCACAGAGGACATCACAAAGTAACCTTGATTCCCCATTTCCACATCCTCTGGAGCAACGGTGTGATTAGAAAGCCTTAGGCTCTGAAAGCTGGGAGGAAAAGGAGAGGTTGGCCTGGCTCACCTAGAGCCCTGCACAGGAAGAGGGAAGCAGAAAAAGAAATGAATGGGACCTGTCTTATCAGTGGGCATTGAGTTCCTGCTTTCACTGGACAAGTTTAAAAAGAAAGGATTCTCAGGAAAGTCCTTAAACTGTGACCAAAGTGTGCTGTGCATCGAATCAGAGTTAAATGTGGCTCATCTTAATTAAATACTGTGTATAAAAGAGAAAATTTCTGGAAACTATGGGCAGTTTTTTGTTTGTTTCTTAAAAAACAACAACAAACTATTATTTAAAGTGGCATTATGATACAAACCCTTTGGTAGAAACAGCTTTGGGAGGGGGGCAGGATCATAATGCCTTCCAAGCAATTTATCCTCTGTCCCCCAAAGGTGAGATGCCTCTCTAATGTGATTTATAAGGCAAATACTCTGATTAAAAAACAGTGTGAAAGCAGACAGAGGTGATGAGGTGGATTATAGACAATGGTTGTCAAGTAACCTGGTTTTGATCCAGCCTTTATTGTATGTGTCCAAAATCACATATTTGATCCTTCACAGGTACCCCCAAATTAATAGCAAATGGTCTATCATGGCTTTGTTTAAGATTCGTCATGAATTATTCCTGAGGACTTGGAAGGGATGGCATTGATAACAGTACCTAAGAGGAATTCTAGAAAATGATAACAGCAGAACTCCTTATATAGGCAGTCAGACAGCTAAACCATGCCAAGTCACTCAATAACATGTATGTGGTAGGGGTCGACTCTATTCATGAAGATTCTGCCATTGCCTTGATCCTTCTATCTTGATACTCAGCAGTTGTTGGCTTACTAAGATGAAACCTCCCAGTGCAGTGTGTAGTAGAGCCAAATAGCCAGATCTGTGATTAAAAATTATTCCAAATTTTGCTCCCAATCTATTATTCCAGACATGAGAGTGACCCTTGTATTGTGTGGTTGACATAGTTCTGAGTTGTATCAGCTTTCAACGATAAGATTAGAATATTCGTCTTCTCAAATAACACAGACAACTTGAGGACAGGGGTGTTTCCATTCATGTATCCCATGAACCCATTAAGGAGGCTGGCACTCAGAGGATGCTCTGTGGTCAATAAACACAGATGTTGTGATGCAGTACTGTCACTTGTTGATTTGCTCTTTGTTCTGTAAAGTACGTTTGGAACCATCAATGTTCTGTTCTTGCTGTTTCTCTTTAGACAATGTTTTAGGGATATTGGCTAAAACTTGCTTCATGGGACTCCTGG